AACAGCGGCTACACTGAAAAGTCCCACCCCAGCATGAGTAATGACCTCCCCCAAACTGGAAAGGACATCCACCCTTTAGTTAACTTTTCTCCTATATACTCTACTTCTTGAGACCACATGTAGTCGAGGCACAATTACATACAACTGGGTGGGGGACCAGGAGGGAGTCATTAGGAGTGAAGGTCTAACATCCCTCCTCACCCTTCCTGTGAGGGACTGTCAGCAGGGCCTGATCTTTGGGGGGGGTCTCTTCCATAGTCACAGATACTCTGATTAGGCTAGTAATAGCTGTTACTATTGGCAGACTGTTCTGTGACAATGTGATGGCTGAGTTCATCCTCCTGGAGGTGGCAGAGAAAGGTCACAACCTGAATCCTGATAGGAGGAGACCAGCACCAAACGAATGGCTCAGTGCAGAGTTCTCCCTGGAGCAAACTCGTTGAGAGACGGCCTCTGAGTGGGTGACCCTCCCCACAATACTTCTCTGGCATTTGAGTAAGCTTCCAACACTGAAGCTTACTCAGTGTAACTCCATCTCCAGTGAATCTGTCACCCCCTTTTAGCCTCTATAGACACACACACACACACACACACACACACACACACACACACACACACACACACACGGAGGAGTGGGAGATCAGGCTGGGGGAAAGAGGCTGGGTACTTGAGAGAGAGGCAGGTAGATCACTGAGTTCCAGACCAGCCTGGTTTACAGACTGAGTTCCAGGACAGCCAGGGCTATATAGGGAGACCCTGTCTCAACACACACACACGGGGGGGGGGGCAAACTAGTGTTTACCTGGAAATAACTGAATTTAAATGACTGATTCAGGAATGAATTAAAATGAGACAGGAGGTTGGGCAGTGGTGACTCACTCCTTTAATCCTAGCACTGGGGAGGCAGAGGCAGGTGGATCTCTGAGTTCTAGGCCAGCCTGGGCTGCAAAGTGAATTCCAGGACAGCTAGGGCTTCACAGAGAAACCCTGTCTCAAACAAACAGACTATTTTATTCTGATCTCCCACTCCCCCCACCACCTGTGTGCCGTGTGGGTGTGGGTGTGGTGTGGTGTGTGTGTGTAGAGGCTAAAAGGGGTGACAGATTCCCTGGAGATGGAGTTACAGGCATTTGTGAACCCCTGGATGTAGGTGCTGGGACCCAACCCTCTGATAGACCTTTTTTTTTTTTTGGTTTTTTTCGAGACAGGGTTTCTCTGTGGCTTTGGAGGCTGTCCTGGAACTCGCTCTGTAGACCAGGGTGGCCTCGAACTCACAGAGATCCACCTGCCTCTGCCTCCCGAGTGCTGGGATTAAAGGCGTGTGCCACCAACGCCCGGCGATAGACCTTTTTTTAATGAGGTTCATCTTAACCACTTTTTAAAAAAAGATTTATTTATTTATTTATTATGTATGCAGTGTTCTGCCTGCATATATAACTGCAGGCCAGAAGAGGGCATCAGATCCCATTATAGATGATTGTGAGCCATCATATGGTTGCTGGGAATTAAACTCAGGACCTCTGGAAGAGCAGCCAGTGCTCTTAACCTCTGACCCATCTCCCCAGCCCCCTTCTGACAAACTATAAAGCAGTATATATATTGTTATATATATGTATATATATATATATGTCAGTGTATATGTCTATACCTTCATAGATGAGCATGTGCCACTGTCAAAAGATAATTTGTGGGAGTTGGTTCCCTCCATCATCCTGAGTCACAGGAGTTTCCCCTTCCACCATGTGGGCCTGAGGGATCAAACTCAGGTCACCTGCTTGGCAGCAGTGTAGCTATGTAGCCTAACTGCTCCCAGGAGGCCTCGGGAGAGACAGGTTTCAGCTGAGAGCTGGCTGGAGAAGCTGGTCTGGGAAGGAAGGTCTGGAAGGAAGAGCATGTCACGTAAGTGGGACATCAGGGACAAAGGCCCTGAGGTGGCGTGGAGGAGGAAAAGGCAGTGTGGCTAGCATTCTGAGTGAGGGGAGGGTGGCTGGTGGGCCGACAGGCCACGGTGAGGGAGTGGAGTATTCGAGATGCAGTGAGGAACCACTCTGCACAGGAGTCACATGACCCCAGGCTGAGGGTGTCAAGTGTGGCCCCCTCTGTTTTCAGCTGCCTGGGCCTGGGTCCCTGGCTCTCCTATGAGCACCTGCCACTTCTCAGCCTCTCTGAGGGTTTTCTCAGCCCAATCTTGTCGCTGTTATGGCTGGGTGGCATCCAGGCTCTTGCTGTGTCTGTCTATATGACCAGATCTGTGTCTGGCCAGATCACTCCATGCTACACCCCACTGTCTGTGGTCACCTCCAGAGAGTGCCCACTGGGCCCTCCTTCAGGAGCTCTTTCTCTGGTACTCTGTCTGGTCTGCCCGTCCTCTCCCGCTCAGGGAAACCACTCTCCATCAGTGGCTGGAGAGACGACATGATGTCAGGCCAGCACCCTCAACTGGGCTAACCGTACTTTGAGTTTAGACAGTGGCCTGGAGGAGACTGGTGGGCCATGTAGGAGGGAGGCCAAGCACGCAATCCATCTAAGAGCTGATGAAGACCTGCATATTTACAACACACCTCAGTCACAGGAAGCAGGGTGCCTGCTACTCCAGGGGCACCGAGGGGCCAGCAGAAGACCTGAGGCTGTCCCTAGCTGCCTCACCCTCGCAACACGCAGGCAGGGCTGTCCAATTCTTGCTTTCAACTTCACCTCACCCCAGCTTAGGCCCCTGTGAGCATGCCCACCTAGACCTCCCGTCTACTCTGACTGGTTAAAGTGTACCTGCCCTGAGGACTCCTGTGCCCATGCTGCCTGTGTGCACAGGTGCTCAATAAATATGTGTGGGGGTCAAACTGAAGAAGGGAGTAAATGAACCACAGGGCTCTACATTGAAAGGACCCTTAATGAGATGGTTCACCTGCTTTTAAGAAACTAGTGGGAAAAAAAAAAGCCAGGAGGTGGTGGTGCACGCCTTTAATCCCAGCACTCGGGAGGCAGAGGCAGGCGGATCTCTGTGAGTTCGAGGCCGGGCTGGACCGACAGCCTCCAAAACAATACAGAGAAACCCTGTCTGTCTCGTAAAAACCAAGAAAAAAGAAAAGAAACTACTGGACTGGAGAGATGGTTCAGACGTTAAGAGCACTGACTGCTCTTCCAGAGGTCCTGGGTTCAGTTCTCATGGTGGCTCACAACCATCTATAATGAGATCTGGTGCCCTCTTTTGGCCTTCAGGCAGACTCGCAGGCAGAACACTGTTGTAATTTAGTTTCGTGTGAGAGAAAGACACCGTGGGGCAGGGTTCAAGCAAAGGGGTTTTTTATTAGGGAAAGGGATCCTAAAATGGGAAAGGGAAGGGGGAGACCAGTCTCCAGAGACAGCAGCAGCAGGAGAGAGGAAAGAAGGAGAGAGAGAGGAAAGGGGAGAGGGAGAGGAAGAGAGAGAGCAACAGACAGAGAGGGAGAGAGAGGGATGGAAGGTGGGCAGGGCCCTTTTAAAAGGGAACATAGTGGATATGCACAGGTGGTGCTCTTAGTGGCTGCAGCTGAGGGTGTATCCTGTCAGAACCCCAAGGATAGGCCAGCACAGATGCCTGAATGCTAACAAACACTGTACACATAATAAATTAGAGAGAGGGGCAGGGAAGGAGTGAGAGAAGCAACTTGCTGAAGCTGGGGGCAAAGGCAATGAAAACTGAGTGGTTAAAAAACACAGGAGGTGGCCAGGCGTTGGTGGCACACGCCTTTAATCCCAGCACGAGGGAGGCAGAGGCAGGCAGATCTCTGTAAGTTCGAGGCCAGGCCGGACCCACAGCCTCGAAAACAATACAGAGAAACCCTGTCTCGTAAAAACCAAAAAGAAAAAAAGCTTATTAAATAGCAATGATGACAATAAAAAACAAGGACACAATCAGTAGTTATCCCGGGTATACAAATGGACTTTGGGCTCCCATCCAACAATGAGAGATGCACTCTCACCCTGGACTATTGGGGGAGGGTCTAGGCCCTGCCATGGATGAAATGACAGACTATGGACACCCCCATGGAGAGCCTACCCTCCCTGGGGAAATGAGAGGGTATTGGGGGGTTGGTGGGAGGTCGTGGGAGGAGGGGAGGGAAAGGGAGAGGGACCTGGAATTGGCATGTGAAGCAACCTTGTTAGGAAAAAAAAATCACTTGGAGGCAGTTCAGTTAAACATGAGCAAGAAAATAAACTCAAAGCAGAATGAGGAAAAAAAAAAAAACAAGGACACAGAGTAAAAGCCACACTCAATATAGAGGTACTGGCAGCGATTGGGAGAGAGGAAGTCCCAGGGTACTACTTACTTGAAAAACAGACTCTTGGAAGGGTAGTTCAACCTCATTTCCCAAGGGCTGGGAGACTGCTGGCTTCTGAGCTCTGAAGAATGAAGCAGACTCCACCCAGAATTCAAGCTGACACCTGTAAGTCAATAATGACCAATCACAGTGCTCCTCTGCCTAGCAAGAGCAGGCCATCTTTTCCACGACGGACTATGAACCAAATCTTCAAACAATTAGCTTTATTCAAACCACCGCACTCAGAAAGCATACCTTAAGAATGACTCAGGGCACAACCTGTGTTTCCACAGTTAGAATTGGCTTTCTACAATTTCATCCAGGGTGCCGGGAAGTGGTGGCGCACACCTTTAATCCCAGCACTTGGGAGGCGGAGGCAGGCAGATGTATGTGAGTTCGATGCCAGCCTGGTCTACAGAGCGAGTTCCAGAAAAGGCTCCCAGATGAAGCTGGGCCATCAAGTGTCCTTTCCTGAGTTCAGGCAAGCAGTGAAAACTAAACTCCTGACCCTCTGGCCACCAGCTCCTCTATCCACCGACCTCCCTGTCTGTCCCCACGAGGGCTTGACAGCTCACCAGGCCCCCCAGATTAACACCAGTTCACTCTGCCAAGTTTTCTCACCCCTCATTGTGCCCCCCCCCACAAACCAGGCCTGGGCAAGGCTGGCTGTGCAGTCTAGAAGCCCAAAGACAATTCAGATCTGAGCGCGCCTGGCCTGTGGGGAGAGCCGTCCACAACTATGGATAACGCTGATCTCGCAGCACTACGGAGGCCTCCAGGAACATGAGCAGTGGACGCCAGCCGCAGAGTCCTGTACAAATGCTTTCCCGTTGGACTTCCGCCCCCGTGCAGGGTAAGCCAGTGAGGGGAGCAGCCGCTCCTGCACCCTCCTCCCGACCCTACCCTCTTCCTGCTATTAGCTTCACTTGCCCCTCCTAGGTGTTGGGGTGAAGTGGTGAAAACCCCAAACCCAACCTGGCTGAATGGATGCGCGTTTTTAGAGGCTTCTGAGTCTGTTTTTCCACTGGCTGGCTGTGTGGCGGGTGTGACCTCAGACGAGTCATGTCCCCTCTGAGTTTCTTCGTCTGTAATAGAAAAGACTTGATGCTGTTTACGCGGAGATGTGTGTCCGTAGGCTCCAGGGCGGCCGCCCCCACAAAACCCCCTCCACTCATTCACTGCGCAGCAGTGGCCGGCCCCACTGCCGGGGAAGACTAAATGTGATAGCCGCCTCTCGGGGGTGGTCCCATGTCCTGTCCAGCTCACAGCCACAGGCCCAGGCAGGAGCCTCCAGTCCCGGGGCAGGACTGTGGCTCACCCTTGCTCGCAGAGTACCAGCTAGATTCTGAGCACACAGCTGGGGGTTGGCCACTGCTGAATAAAAGGAATGAATAAATGACTAGTGAACAAATGACTCTTCATCCAGACCTCTTAGAAAGTCCCTTGACTTCTCTCTCCATCCAGAAGAGTTTGATGCTGGACCTGCTGAGCAGGATTGAGGGGGTCGTGACATTAATAACATCAGCATAATAACCAAACCTAATGAGCTATGTTGGCCAGACACTGTGGTGAAGAACGCTGTGGGGCTTGGTGGCGCACACCTTTAATCCCAGCACTAGAGAAGCAGCGGCAGGAGGGTCTCTGTGAGTTCGAGGCCAGCCTGGTCTACGTAGGATGTTTCAGTCCAGCCAGGGATACATAGTGAGACCATCTCAAAAGGGGGGAAAAGAAAAGGGGGAAAAAGTATTTAATGTTAAAGTCCACTGTGTAGAAAAGGAAACTGAGGTACCGAGAACTGAGGAAGCCTCCTTCCCCGGGGTGGAGGGGAGGAGGCGATCACGTTGAGAGGAAAATCTGAGGTCAGACTGGTAAAGCTTGGCTTTACCAAAGAGGAAGCTCCAGCTGAGGGAAGGAACTGCAGACCTTGCAGAACCCACAAAAGACCGGCCTGAATTCAGGAGCCCCGCCTCCCCCTGCGTCGCCATGGCAACATCGTGCACATGCGCTTTGCGGACCGCGTCTAGGCCTGGCGGAAGCAGGCTCTGCGGGCAGGGCAAGAACACAGGGCGGGCTTTTAAAGGGATCATCCCTCATCCAGCCAGTCTGCTTGCTGGGGCTATGAAGGTTGGTGGTCCCGGGACTCCGAGTCTAGGAGGCAGGGGTGAAGCGGAGCTGAGACCTTCGGAAGGTGTTTGGGCAGAGGATGCTTGTGGAAATGCCTTCCCAGGGCAAGGATGGGCTGTTTCCCCTGAGAGCGTTGTGGAGGGGTGGGGCTATGGAAATACACCTCCGGTAGGGAGCCAGGCTCCAAGGGAGAGCCAAAGAGAGAATAAGAGGAACCACGGGGCGGGCTTGGGGTAATGGTTACCCCTCTCTCGACTTCTACTCCCAGTATTCTGCAACCTCCTAACCTCACTGGCGTGCTCAGCCATGGCCAGACTTCCCACGCACGGTTCGGTGATTGTCCCAGACTGGCATGAGACCGTCGAGGGCAAGGAGTACTTAGCCTGCATCCTGCGCAAGAATCGCCGGCGGGAGTTTGGTAAGTGCCTCCCCTCCCCTCGACACGTGCCTCATGGGCACTCCTGACACGCCCTGAGATGGCAGAAACAGGACCGTGGGACCTGCCCCACCGCAGCCCTCACCATCGAGGTCCCCTGGACGCCGTCCCTAGGGCCCCCTCACCCAAACCTCCTGAGAGCCAATTCCACCAGCAGAGCCAGGAACATGGAAACAGCGCATCCCTGCCAACAGCAGCTGTCACCAGAGATGCTGTTGGCTGAGCCCTGCTCACCTGGGATCATGCCCTCTGCTGGGCACTTTGCACAGTGGCCTTCTGTGCAGCCTGTTTTTAGACAGGGTTTCACTGTGTAGCCAGAGCTCGTTATGTAGACCAGACTGGCCTTGAATTGAACTCAGACAGATCCACCTGCCTGTCTTCCCAGTGCTGGGATTAAAGGTGTGCGTCACCCATTCAACTTTCTTCTCTTCTCCCTCTCTTTCTCCTCCCCCCACCCCTTCTGTTGTTTTTGTCTTTTGAGACAGGGTTTCTCTATGTAGCCTCTGACTGTCATAAAACTCTTTCTGCAGACCAGGTTGGCCTCGAACTCAGATCTGCCTGCCTCTGCCTCTGAGTGCTGGGATTAGGCATGTGCCACCATGCCAGGCCTGCTCAACATTCTTAGTAGCATGCTTTAGAGACTTGCCTAGGGTCGTGCCCTAATGAGGAAAGGAGAGCCCCTTCAGTGTCTGTCTAGGGTAAGACATTGGTGTCCCAGAATTAAGCAGATTACCCGAGCAAGGCCCTGGCTGACAGGCCAAGAGGCATGACGTCTGCTTCCGGAGTCCAGCACCAGCTTCAGACAGAGGCTACTGGAGAGGCTGAGGCAGGAGGATCAGAAATTCAGGGCAACATGGAAAGATTCTATGTCATGAGGGCTGGGATATAGCTCAGTGGTAGAACTGTCACCCTGCATGCCAGGGCTGTTCTGTCCCTGGTGCCACAAAGAAGAACGGAACAAAGGCGATCTCACAGCTTAGGACGTCAAATCATTAGACTACATAATATCATCCTTTTGACTTTTTTATATGCAAGTTTTTTCTTATTAAATATTCTCTGTGTGTATGGGTGTTTTACCTGCATGTATATCTGTACACCACATGCGTGCGTACCCTCGGTCAGAAGTTAGAAGAGGAGGGCAGATCCCCTGAGACTGGAGTTGCGGATGGTTGTGAACCACCGGGTGGGTGTGGGGAATGGAACTCCTGTCCTCTGGAAGAGCAGCTGGTGTTCTTAACCACTGAGCCATCTCGCCAAACCCCTATGGGATAGGTTTGGGTTTTTGTGGGGTTTGTTTGTGGTTTTATTGTTGTTTTGTTTTGTTTTTTTGAGACAGAGTTTCTCTGTATTGTTTTGGAGGCTGTCCTGGAACTCGCTCTGTTGACCAGGCTGGCCCCAAACTCACAGAGATCCACCTGCCTCTACCTCCCGAGTGCTGGGATCAAAGGCGTGCGCCACCAATGCCTGGCTGTGAGTAGTTTTAAGAACTCATAAAGACATCAATGAGGCCGGGCGTTGGTTGGTGCACGCCTTTAATCCCAGCACTCGGGAGGCAGAGGTAGGCGGATCTCTGTGAGTTCGAGACCAGCCTGGTCTATAAGAGCTAGTTCCAGGACAGCCTCCAAAGCCACAGAGAAACCCTGTCTCGAAAAACCAAAAAAAAAAAAAAGATGTCAATGAGTTAGTTCTATGGGATTTATTTCTAGTAGCTGTAAATACTTTTGCTTATATCTCCCTGTTAAAGAAGAAATTGTAGCCGGGAGGTGGTGGCGCATGTTGTAGGGAATCCAACACCTCCTTCTGGCCTTGGCAGGCACCAGGCACACATATGATACGCAGACATGCATGCAAGCAAATACCCAGTGTTTTGTCTATGTTTACAGCAAAGTGTGCCCAGAGGAGTCTGTCATCCAGGCCCCCAGCGAAGATCTAGAGCAGTTGACAGTTTGAGCAGATTAACTGTGAGATCCTTGGCCATCTCTGTGTATTCTGGGCCTCTGTAGAGCCGAGCTGAAGGCTGAGAACCAAGCTGGCTAGTCTGGGTATGTCTCCCAGGGTCTGAGCAAGAGCAGAATTAACTCCCCAACTCCTTGCCACAGGGTTGCTGGAACGGCCAGTGCTGTCCCCTTCGGTGGCCATTGACACCGCCAGCTACAAGATCTTTGTGACCGGGAAGAGTGGTGTAGGCAAGACCGCGTTGGTGGCGAAGCTGGCAGGCCTGGAAGTCCCTGTAGTGCACCATGAGACAACTGGTGAGGGATCTAACCTCCAGCCTATCCTTGGTGGCCTTCCATGAGATGGAGGGGAGAACCTGGCCCCAGGCCACATTAGCCGGGGTTCTTACAGAATATGCCGTTTCTTCTGTAACCTTGGAAAGTCATGCTGTTTGGTCTGGTACGAGAGACGGTGGTGGCTGCATACCTCGGGTCTAGTTGGTATAGAGGTAGAAGCTCAAGACCTGCTCATCGCCCTGTTTCTTTCAGATCATCATATGTCCCAAGACCTTTGCGGTCTCCCTATATAAGCAATGAGACTGCTTTCTTGTGGCGTGGGCCAACTCTGCCTGGTCTACCAAGAACTCCTCCTGCAGCCCAACACTGTTCCTTCCTGATCTGAGGATTCTCCCAGATCAGGGACCATGCCTTCCATGTCAGGGCGGTGACCCACAGGGTGGAGATGTAGCTCTTCTTCATGCCCCTCCCCAGCCTCACCCCACCCCCATCCCACCTCTGATTGGCTGATCCCAATTCTCCTCAGGTATTCAGACTACTGTGGTGTTTTGGCCAGCCAAGCTAAGGGCCAGCGACCGTGTGGTCATGTTCCGCTTTGAGTTCTGGGACTGTGGCGAGGCTGCCCTCAAGAAGTTTGATCACATGCTGCCGGTGAGCTGGACAGGTGGGCCTGAGCGGGCTATGGGGGGGGGTGTCAGAGACCCACCCTGTCTGCAGGAGCCTCACTTGAGCATTAGTTACCTGAGGGTAGTGTACTGGGCTGCAGAGCTCTGACTGGCACTGGGGATGCTACTGATCACTCTTGGGAACCACTAGGCCCGTGGGAGCATGTGGTCACGTGTCATGTGTCCTCAGGCTTGCAAAGAGAATGCAGATGCCTTCCTGTTCCTCTTCTCTTTCACTGACCGTGCCTCCTTCGAAGACCTTCCTGGACAGTTGAGCCGAGTAGCCAGCGAGGCTCCTGGGGTCGTCAAAATGGTCATTGGCTCCAAATATCCTTTGAGTTGTGGCTAGAATGCACTCCTGGTAAGGTACCTGTCACTCTGTGAGGTCCAACCCATAGGTTTTCCTTAAAGGGTGTCCAAGACCTACCCCAGCCTCTGGAGAGGAGGCCAAGGCTGGGTCTAATGGGGTTAGGGTGGTGAGCTGAGCCTCTTGGCTAGGAGCCTTAACCCTCCTCCAGGTTTGACCAGTACATGCACACGGACGTGCCAGAGCGAGACCTCACAGCCTTCCGGCAGGCCTGGGAACTGCCCTTGCTGCGGGTGAAGAGTGTGCCAGGACGGCGGCTCGCAGATGGGCGTACACTGGACGGGCGGGCTGGGCTGGCCGACACCGCCCATGTGCTCAATGGCCTTGCGGAACAGTTGTGGCACCAGGACCAGGTGGTGGCCGGCCTGCTGCCCAGCTCCCCAGAGAATGCCCCTGGCTGAAGGGGGACAACATCCTGAGTAGGGACAAGGACTGATGAGCCTCACTCCTGTCCCTTGGGCGACCTAGGACAGATGATGGGATCTAGGACCCAAGGCTGATGCAAGGACCCAGTGCTGTCCTCGGGACTGGCTGGGGAGGGCCCCCGCCTGGTGGGAAGGTGGGGACACAAGGCTCCAGAGCTGAAAGGTCTCCTGACCCCCTGCCCCTCACCCTTCTGCAGCACCCACTGAGGGTACGGTGGGGAGGGGCACCTCAGAAGGATCCTGGACCTCTCTTGACTTCGGCCAGGAGCTTTGTTGGTTCAAGTAACACCATTTGCTCAAACAGATTAAACTCTGCAATCTCAGTGGCTGAACTCTGTAGGGTAGGTTTGTTTGCTTGTCTGTCTGTTTTCTCCCTGCACCTACTCAGAGGCGTGTTCTTAGTTTATTAGCATCGAGTCAGCAGGCATGGAGTGAGTGGGTATAGAAAACTACCTGAGGTCTCTGTGGACGCACTGCGTTGGCCAGCACCCCGTCACGTGGTGCTAAGGAGCCTGAGAGAAGAGGTCCACCTGCATGTCCCGGAAGCTAGTCCTTCTCTCCAATGACTCTTGACCTTGACCCCCATGAAGGTGTAGACAGGCCTCCAGACCAGGGCTTTGCCTAGGAGTCAGAAAGCGCCGCTGGGCAGAACCAAGGACCCTCCCTACTGAGTAGAGGGCAGGATGTGGGGTAGCCTGAGCTAGCTCTCCTATATGGAGAGAGGGAAAGGGCACAGTGAAACCACTGATCTACCCACTTTGTGGGTAGAAAGAAAGATTTACTGGGGTCAGTGCGCCAAGGCTATCTCTTGTTGGAGGGGCGGGCAGAGAAAGCAGCAAAATGATGGAAAGCAAGCAGACTTTATGTGACGGTTAGCAGGGTAGGATTTGTGAACTGACATAGGCCATTCAGATTAATTGGGAACTAGATGCCCAAGGTAGTTGACCTTAGGGCAAATTAAGCCCTGGGGGGGCTAGTTAGCAGGAATCCAATTTAGGGGTTTCCTGAGGAACCCCAAATTTAAGCTTCTTTTTACCCAGTAACAATCAATTCTGTGGACCCAGTCAGAATCTTTATGCTTAGGACCTTGTCACCAGGACTGCTATTTTGGGGGGCTGCTTTGTTTGAGGGGCTGCTTCTTGTCACCCAAGCCCCATCAGTCACAGACGCTGAGTGGATGTTAATGTTGGCAGTTCTTAGGAGCTTTTATTTGCTTGTTTTTGAAGACAGGGTTTCTCCAGCTCTCACTGTCCTGGAACTCACTCTGTAGACCAGGCTGGCCTCTGACTCAGATCTGCCTGCCTCTGCCTCCTAAGTGCTGGCATTAAAGGCATGGGCCACCCTGTCGACTGGATTTAAGTAACTTTTATGTTAGTATAGCAAAGTGACAGAAGCAGCTTGGTCAAGGAAGGATTGATATGGGCTCATGGTTTAGGAGACTTTAGCCCATGATGGTGAAGAGGCCATGGCAGGGTGAGGAGCTCAGTTTGTGTTGACAGACACATGCAGTTCCTATCATACTGTGGTAGGCAGGAAGCCGAGAGAGCAAGACCAGAACAGGGGTTGTGCTATACCATAAAACCTCACTCTCAGCCAGGCGTGGTGGCATACCCCTTTACTCTGGAGGCAGAGGCAGGTGGATCTCTGGGGGTTCAAGGCTAGCCTGTTCTAAGTAGTGAGTTCCAAGACAACCATAGCTACATAGTGAGACCCTGTCTCAAACAAACAAACAGCCCACTCAGCAACCAGAACTGAGCTTCCAATATAAAAGTTCACAATGTCCCAAAACAGCACGTCCACTTAGGAGGTGACAGTGCAGACCCAGGCTGTCACCTCCTACTGAAGAGTCCCTGTAACAATCCCAGAATAGGTTATGTACATCTAACTCCCAATGACACTGAGTCAACAATTCCATTCCAAAAGGAAGGATCAGGGGAGAGAGACAGAGTTGGAGCCCAGCGTGGCAAATGTTAGCCCCAGGGCTCCATGTCCTTTGTCAGGTGTCACGGGAGCCCCTCTGTGATTGCCCAGCTCACCTTCCCCATTTTGCAGTACAGTCTCAGAATCTCTCTCTTGGGCTCCCTCCATTTGGTAACTACAGCTTTCTTCTGAAATGTCCCACAGTCCTGAAATTTCCTGAAGCTCCCTGGAGGACGCAGTTGGTGATCACACCCCAGGTCTTCCCTTGGACTAGGGGGGTGGGGATGTATATGCAGCCAGGTCCTGCCCCGCTGCTCCTTCCAGGACTCTAGTTCCCTTCTCTTGCCTCCTCACGTCCAACAGATACGGCGAGGCTGAAGCCCAAAGACGAACAGGTTTCAGAGATGCAAACAGCCAGGTTTCTCACTAGCTTCTCTTGCTTCTACCCTGCAGGAGGGGAGATGCTTTGCTGGGGGCTCCCTCCCTCCCTCCTCCCTGCTCCTCCTCCCCTGTCCCTGTTCTCTTCCTCCTTTCTCTCTCCATCCCTGCTCCTCCCCTCCTTGGCCATGGTCAAGTTCGTGCCAATTGAGCAGCCTGGCCTTAGGATGTCAGACAGGATCCAGAGCATGGTACTGGCACACAGGACCAGCTCATGCAGCGGCTGCTGGGTAGGCCATAGGAGTCCATGGCTGAGTCCTGGGTGGGACCTGAGTTTTCTGCCCAGGCTTCTAGATCTTACTCTCTGGCCAGTCTGTGCCTGTTCTAACCTTCACGTGCCAGGTCCAGACTAGGGGAGCTAGGAGTGTGCAGAGTTAGGGGCGGGGCTAAAGGTCAGGGCAAATCAACAGAGGACTAGTGGGGGGGTGAGATAAAGGATGGGGGCTAGGACAGTGTCAGGAGTAAGTGCCCAACTCCTTTAAAGAGCACAGGAGAGACACTGGGGCTTACATGAGGAGTGGTCCAGCAGGAAGAGGAGAGAGAACTGAGTGAGCATGTGCAGTTGTCACCCTATGCTCAGCAGGCCTGCACTCTACCCAGGTAAAAGTTTAGCCCTGCCCAACACCAAGATAAGCTACCATAATGCTGACTGTTGCTGAGGTCTTCCTTGTTTTCTTTTGTTTTAGGATATCTTCTATTCATTGACAGTTTCATACATGTATACAATATATCTTGATCTTACCTGTAACTTCCCCCTGACCACCCACCCCCCCAGACAGAAGTTTCTCTGTGTAGCCCTGTCCTGCCACCTTTCAGTCCCAAATAAGGATACAGAGGCTTATATTATGAACTGCTTAGCCTATGACTCAGGCTTCTTATTGGCTAGCTCTCTCTTAATTATTAACCCACTTCTATTTTTTTAGATTTATTTATTATGTATACAGTGTTTTGCATATATCCCTGCACACCAGAAGAGGGCACTAGATCTCATTACAGATGGTTGTGAGCCACCATGTGGGTGCTGGGAATTGAACTCAGGACCTCTGGAAGAGCAGTCAGTGCTCTTAACCTCTGAGCCATCTCTCCTGCCCCAACCCACTTCTTTTTTTTTTTTTTTTTTCTAGAGACAGGGTTTCTCTGTATTGTTTTGGAGGCTGTCCTGGAACTGGCTCTGTAGACCAGGCTGGTCTCGAACTCACAGAGATCCACCTGCCTCTGCCTCCCGAGTGCTGGGATTAAAGGCATGCGCCACCACCGCCCGACTCCAACCCACTTCTATTAATCTAAGTATCACCACATAGTTTTGGCTTACCAGAGAATGCCTTATCTTCCTGGTAGCTACATGGCATCGCTCTCTCTCTGACGACTGCTTACCTGCTTCCTTCTCTTCCCATAATTCTCCTAGTCTGGTATCCCCACTTATACTTCCTGGCTGGCTACTGGCCAATCAGCATTTATTCATCAACCAATAAGAGAAACATATTCACAGAGTATGGAAGGACACATCCCTATCTCATCTTCTTTTTTGTAACACTGAGTCTAATCAGTGCCACCTGCTGGAATGTTCACAGATTTCATTGACTTGATGGAGTGCAGGTAACCATAGTTGCAGTGAGTTCCTGAGTGCAACAGCCGTGCCATGCCCAGAGGACAGAATTTCACACTTTCTCTCCAGCCTTTGGTTCTTACATTCTTTCTGTCTCCTCTTCCGTGTTGTTCCTTGAGCCTTGGGCTGGGGGTGGGGTTGAAATATATGTGCCCTATTTAGTCCTGGGCATTCAACAGTCACTTGCTCTCTGCAGTTTGATTAGTTATGAATTTCTGCACTAACTGCTACCCACTGCAGAAAGGGGTTGAGAGCAGCACTAATCCGTGGGTATAAACAAATATTTAGAAAGTAGTTTGACAACTTGTCCGTTTAACAAAGCAACAGTACAAGGCTCTCTGTAGAGCCTATGACCTCCAGAGCCTTTGACCAGCCTTACCATACCAGACATGACTCCCTCCTCCTCTGAGGCAGACTGCAAATCCAATCAGAAAGTAATTGGTTACCTGATTACTCCAAAACTATTGCACCAGTACAGAAGTCATTCTTACAATGACTTCTTAGGTGACTCTTAGGCTGAGAGCATGAAGGGGAGTAAGAAGGGACTCATGTCTGCCAGGAGACCTCCTTCATTAGTCTGTCTTTAGCTTGGATAAGTGACAGTGAATAGAGGAAGGGGTGGCCCAGCTGGGTTGCTGGAGGAGCTCCTGGCCCCTGCAGATCTGTCTTCTCTGATTACCCATCCCTTCATACCTCTCCCACCTAAAGCAAAGATGACTTGCAGACAAAAACCCAGCAAGGACCAGAGTCTCTGGGTACCACAGGGTCACTCATGTACTAGTGGCAGGATTTTCTTCCAGGTGAGAGACCACCCCACCAAGCATGCTGGAGTAGCCAGAGACAGTCTCTCTTGAGCTGTCTTTCTCCCCAAGAATGCTGCAGCACCTCATTTCCTACTTCTTGGAGTGGTTAGTTGTGGGGGACCTGGGCTGCCTTGACACCTGGCTTCCCAGGAGCACAGCTAAGTGATGTTCTTGGGGACTGCTGGTGTTACGCTAGGGCATAGAGCCTATGTGCACACTGCAGGTAGAGGAGGATTGGGGTCATCTCAGGGATGGAGTCTGATACTTTTCTATCAAGTAGGAAATTTGAAGGACTGTCCTACCTTGTCAGGGCAAAGTTCAACAGTCACTTTATTTTGGGCCCTGCTTGTCTAATTTGAACAGTGTGTTATCAGCAGTCATGGCAAGGGCAGCTTATTGCTCAGTGATTAACTTTTGCCACAAAGAAAGCAAACTCCAGCCGGGCGTTGGTGGCGCACGCCTTTAATCCCAGCACTCGGGAGGCCAGAAGCAGGTGGATCTCTGTGAGTTCAAGACCAGCCTGGACTACCAAGCGAGTTCCAGGACAGCCTCCAAA